GCCAATTGTTTTCAGTGTAGTATTAACAAAGTACTTCCAACTTTTAAGGGAATTCCACACCAATTACTCAAATTTCCTCGCAATATTTCGATTTTTCAGCTTCATTTAACCTTCAATGCAATGCGAAAATTCAGGTACTTAAGACAGCCATATTAACAAAGATACACGAAGCATCATTCTGAACTAACCAAAATCAGAACCAGCACACGAGGCGTCTAATCCTTGGTTTTGGTGATAACTAAATTTTCTTAGTCATGTTTAAGATGTGATCACCACAACAGGTGAATCACCGCTACGGTGCACTCTGATTCGATATTCGATAGTTGGTAGGCAACTCTTGGCCTGGATTTCCGTCTTTTTGACACCCATCAACAAACTATTTCCAAAATCTCGAAGGAACTGATGTTCCTTCAGAAACCTCGATCCAGGGTTTCCTGCAAATCTCCTTTAACTGTCTGAATAAACCAAAATATAATCATATTTTACGAAACACTAAATGCATAAAAAAGATAGAATTTCGAAAGTTTAGAAACGGCAGGTGATTGGGATAGAAAATTAAAGTTTGATAACATTTTCAGGTTAACTTCATAAAAAAACTCCCATTTTTTGGATTTGTTTCACTGATAAAAATGGTTATTAATTTTTATTCCCGTGTTATTGTTAAATATTTTGAAAAGCCAACTACGTATACAGTCACCCAACTTTTTTATTATTTTATTCAGAATAGAATTAATTTACCTAATGTACCATGATGTGTTTACAAGATAATTTCATTTTGTCATTAGAGGAAAAACATACAAGTACTAGCTGACAAAACAATTCTAGTTTTAGTACGCGTTTTAGGGACAGTTAGCTCAGTCAGTATCTGTCGTAAAAATGTTTCACCTAAGAACTAACAAATGATTTACCCCGTGGTTAGAAAAATACACAGCATACCTTTTATACGATTACCAGAATGCGTAACTTGGTAGTAATAAAATTTATTAGGCAGATAAAAGCATAGTTACACCTGTCATGCAGTAAAGAAAATTGTATTGCATTTAAACTAAACATTATTACAGGCGGAAATGATGAGGATATCAAAGCAAGGATCGGAAAAGCAAGACAAGCTTTCACTACTCTCAAATCTGTGTGGAGGTCAACAGCACTCAACATCAAAAATAAGATCCAGATTTTCAACTCCAATGTGAAGTCGGTCATTGCTACTATACGGATCAGAGACTTGCACTGCGCGTCATAAAGAGCATCTCAAACAAACTACAGACCTTCATTAACAGCTGTCTTCACTCATTACTCAAGATCAGATGGCCGGCCAGAAAAGATCAGCAACAGAGATCTCTGGCAACGAGCAAACCAACCAGGAACCGATTGTGAAACAAATAGGCAGGAAGAAATGGAGATGGATTGGCTGGCCATACTCTGAGGAAACCATCAAGTGACATCACTAGACAAGCCATTGCTCGAGTGGAACCCGAAAGGGAAGCGGCGAGTTGGTCATCAGTGCAAGGGTGACTTGGAGGAGGTTATGTGAAGAGGAGATGAAAACGTGTGGGCAGACTTGGAGCCAGGTGAAAACTCTAGCAGAGAACCGGACGCAATTGAGACGCGCGGCTGAAGCCCTATGTTCCTCTAGGAATTAAAGAAAATAATAATAGTACTACACCGTTGCAAACACTGACCGACTTTTGTACTACATTAGTGTTGTCTTATACTACTATCTTATTGGCTGATATGAGTAGCTGGAAACCGTTTGGCATTCAACAGTAATAATTGCTAGCCAGATTGAAGTCATCGAAACAATGGACCGCCTCTTCAGACCAAGGTATCAGTAGTGTGCTCGGTTAAGCTCAGCTAGCAGACACTACTGCTTGAAGTGAGTAAGTAGTGTATACCACAACGCCATTTCACCTGCCTTTTTATTTTTCTTTAAATTTAATTTAAAACACGAACTTGGTAGAATATGGGTATCAAGACGTGAGTTACACGACATTAATAAAGCAACAATAATATAGAGAAAATAAGCAGAGGATACATGAGAGACGTTATCCAGAAACCGCGAAAGCATATTTGTCAAGATCACTCAACATTCATCATTTTATAGTACTCTCAGAAAGGAAAGAGAGAAGGAAGTTGTAGCATGTTCTTCATTAACTGAGATTCTTGGCTATATCCAATAACGCTTCAAGCCACCGACTTGAACTATCTTTCGGACTTCAACCAGAAAGCCATGACACACCAGGTGATAATAACTAACATAAATATCCTTCATCTCACGATACCCCGTAATAGGCTGACTACCCTTCTACTTTTTCTATCCAGTCCCACGGTTAGCCAACAGAGACCGGTACGGAAGCCAGCGAGACGACATTGGTAGCATATGTCTGGGCCACTGATAGCAGTGTTTCGAGATGATGACACTCAATAAATGGTGATCTTTACTATGCTCAAGCAAACACTGTCGGAACTCAAAATTAATCATACGGCGGTGTTATCGGACGCAAGTAATTCTATTGAGACAGCAATGACAGGATACGCAGAGTCGCCGTACATCCTAAACTCGGAAAGACCAGGTTTTGGAGGCGTAGAACAAGACTGCGTACATCTAAGTATTGTAAACCTGATCTTTGACAGCCAGGCCAGATGTCAGAGGGGGCGCGAATCGGTGTGTGTCACCACAGCTTTCACTATACGGTTAGTTTTCATGACTGACATCTGTGTTATGCAGCAGCTCACATATTCTGGTATGAATACATTTTGATATCCAAAAGATACTTTAGTGACTTTTCGCCTTGATTTGAGTAGTTGGCGAATGCCGAATATGGTTTAATTACCTTTCATATATAAGAATTCTAGTAAAACTGTCGACGAAAAAGTTACATCAGCAAATATTTCAGAAATAATTTCGATAAAATTCTAAAGTTTCAGCATTTAATTTAATACACAACTTTCCTGCTTCCTGCTAATGTTTGAGGCGTGAATACTTTCGTGAGAACTTTCATTATCAAAGCAGCGAAAACTGTTTGGTTCATATTTAGAACATAAATAATTCGCTTAAAAGCGATTGTTCTAGTATCCATGATGAAAATTATGCTAAAGTTGTGAGTGATAGTAATTCTAAAAGCATCTGATTATCACTTTGCTTGAGATTTATGGACTGTGCGCATTCGAAACACTCACTTAGGAGAAAAGGTTATAGTATCCTTTCACCCATTAACTATCATGCCTAAGTATTTAGAGAACCTGACTGCAGTATGATTAAATGCACTACAAAAAAAAACACTGCACGCATTTATATTAATAGTTTTCTACACAAACGTCGCGTTACTATTATCTCACCCACTTCTTTGCATTTCACATGATAAAGTTTTAGGAAGTAAACACTTATTACTCTCCAAATTCAATCAAAAGAGAAACAGTTTCTTCGTTGTTTTGATAAACAATTAATTTCATTACCTTGAGAAAAAAATACTGATGAAGTTTAATGTAAAGAATATTAAGTAACATTACAAGAGCATAATAATAAGACTTTGATTCTTCGTAAAACTTAAATTGTAAACACTTTTTTCATCCTTATCGGAATTTCATGAGTAATAGGTTTTCATGGAATTGTAGTTGCTAAAAGTGGGATTATAGTTTCTCTATGTTGACATAAAATTTCTCTACAGTTGAAGACTCGAACTCAGATATTCAGATGACATCAAAGCTTTTTATCATTCTTTAAGAACTTCGGATGCCACATTTCAAATTCAGGGAAAAGTCTTTAAAGTGAACACAAGAGTAAAACAAGGAGATGGGTGGATTGGACACATGCTGAGGAGGCTACTGAGCAACATCACGTGACAGGCAGGCCTCAAGTGAAGCTCGAATGGGAAACAACGAGCTAGGCGTCGGAGGGGACAAGGAGGATATTGTTAGAGGAGGAAATGAAAGCTTATGGAGATATCATGCTGAAGCCCTACATCGCATTCAAAACACAAGGGTATAAGAATAAAGGAACGTTTTCCTGATATGGTGGTCAACATCCAGTCTGGGAATAAACCAATCAGAATTGGCTATTAGATACAGACTAATTGACATATCCCTGATGATTTTTCGAATTATACGTTATTGCATGAAATAAATTTTTCAGCTCACGTCGCTGTTTGTTCTCGCTTCGGTAGTATGGGTTGGGGAAACAGGTGGCTATCGTATAATGTTGTTGGGGTGGTCAAGCGGTATTCATAACTAGCACATCTGTGTCCAACTCGGCGCCCCTATTTCAGTCTCAAAGTATTGCAAATTATTACAGTTCCGCAAGCCTTGCAGTCGCATCTGTTAAGGATTTTATTTATGCACTTCCAAGGTAAACGTGCGCAATAAGCATGTTTAGGCTATTAGGGGTTTTTAAGTACGTTTAGACTTAATATGAGTTGCAAATATAGTTTTGTGTATACATAAATCCATGTTCAGACATAAATAAAGCGCTTATAATCACGCAAGTATTACCTTTTCGAACAGAAATCGATTGAAAAGCATTTGCTGATGATAATATATCGCGTAGTCGATTGAAGAGAAATATATATATATCACTAAAAAGCATCCCTTATAAATATAAGTAACAAAAAAGGTATGAATGAAGAGTGCTTTTGTCCACACGAATAGACATTTGCGCCGTTCTATTTTATGAATGAAATTAAGCCCGACAAAAAGGGCACATGAATCTCATGGGAATGTGAAAAGCGAGACATTTTCTGTGCTAACATCTTATCAAAGATATTTTGAACGCCAAACTCTCAAAAATACAAAATAGAAATAAAAGAATATGCATTATTCATTGCTGTAAGGCAATCGTCAAAATGAATCCCGTGCATAAAACTATATAGTATTGATTGGTTGATTGAGTAGCTGTATACCACTTACATCAACCCGTAGTGATAGTAATAATTTGAAAAGTGTGAATTCGACTCATGAACATTCAATACAACACAGGAAAAAGTTACGATTTAATTGTACAAACTTACGCTCCACGTTTTGTAAAATACATAACAGATGGATCTCTATAGACTGCAACTGTACGAAATTGATTCAGTGGGATTTGTTTACAATGTTTTTCCAAAGGATATTGTTCTTCATCATTTGGTTTGAAGACAAACATATCTGTGGTTACTAATATGATTCCAGTGATTGAGCACTAGAATAAAGAATAAAGGCAAGACAAAGAAGAATATGAAATTAGAAGGACAAGAGTTATGTTCCATCAGTCACTGGACTTCAAGAAATAACTGAATAGTTTCTTTGATAAATAAAACTTATACAGACCACTTTAGTTTGAATGTCATTATAAACAAGTGGGAGCACATTTTTTAAATTTTTTTGAAAATCCTTTTCGGCAACTTTTATATTCTAGTTATTAAGTTAACATTTCCTTAGGTATAGAATAGGCTCATTGAAAAGAGTGATGTTATTATATTGACTGAAAACGAATGTATACATACTTATCTATAGAAGAAAAATTTTTTTCCTGAAGTGCTTTATGCTAAAAGTTGGGGAAGTGATTAATTTGTGTTATGCTGGTTTGTGATTTGTTTAAAGCATTCAAAGTTTAAGTAAAGTTGGGTGTGTACAACAGTTGCGAGGAAGTGAATGCAGCATTGTACAGCTTTTGTACTAATTTCACTTCACTAGGCAAATTATTCAGTTAATATTATTAGATGGTTGGAGGCAATCAGCAGGAAGCCCTGCTTGACACAGGTTTCGTGCTAGTTGGCACTCACCAGTCAACAAGGCGTATCTGCAGGCTCGAAGCAACTCATGTCCCTTCTGAGATTCCAACTCGCGTCACCCATTGCTGCAGTCAGAGACGTTACCACTGAGCTATTTGGACTGGCGATTGACCTCCTGAAGGACTGTATTGGATGCCTTTGATTGGACACTAGTTAGTAACTAATATGATGTGCCTAGTCCTTTTTGTTTTGGTGCAGACGGAATTCTGTCAGTCACGTTAGCAATGTGGCCACTATTCTAGGTGGCTCACCATCACGTATGCCAGTAGTTCACTGTTGAAGGCAGGTGTCATTGGTTGATTCAATAAATTATAACCAGATATCGGTGATATAAGAAAAACGTTTAAATCTCTGAGAATATGCTTGCTTTACTCTTCAGATACATCTATTTTATTACAATATGAATGTAAAGTTTGATTAATATAGGTGTGGAATTTGATCATGATTGTTAGAGTATAATTTCATATTAGATAAGTAAATTTGATGTAACAAGCAGTGATACACTGTTAATAAGTGGATCGCATTTCGAGTGCAATTTATTGTTCATAATCACATCATTGTATTTATACAACTAAATAACTTGTTTTGCACAGTCTTACTCCGTGCTACTTTTTATAGCAATTTTCTATATATTCTTTATATCTATTACGTCACTTCGATTTCACGTGTTTGCCACTGATTGAATGAACAGAAATTTCATGGATAACCTATCTCCACATGTCTGCATTACTTTTAAATATTTTTAACCCATACCACTATATTTTGTGATTACATACAAATGAATAAGTTGCAGTATGGTGAAGCTTTTCTCCAGATTATTTAGCTCCTCATGGTCAATCATTCCAGGTCAAGCTGAATAATTTAATTGACCCCAATCTACTAGTTTGATCGATGTAATTGACCTAACAGTCACTACAGGGTACTTGACAAGTTATATTATTTTCCTTAATTGGATCTATTGGGTCCTCAAGCCAACAAAGTTGGTCTTTGAGAGATTTGGGTGATTTAAATGCTACCCTGACTAATTCCAGTCTCGTTGAGAATCCTACGTAAAGCCTGTGATGATACTCCTTTATACGGCAGGCAGTACTACAAAGGCTTTGAATTACATATTATTTATGTTATTTACATCATTTTTATTACTACTTTTATTTTTCCTAGGGGATATCATACATACATCTGCGAAGAATTGCGATAAACAACAAGGGATAGAAAAAAAATATAAAAAGCAGATTATGAAGCTGTGTGACTGGACACTGATCAATTCAATATTCTGCTATGAAGGTGACATTTCCAAATATCCAATTTAGATAAATCAAAAAGCTTGGTTCTTTGAGATATTAACTAGTCATGGTACTACTCAGTATATTGGTAGGTATTGTAAAGAAAAACTCAATGCTTGAACTCTAGAGTTGAAGTTGATGGATACAGAGCGTCCAGAAATCCGCGTATTTTGTAGCTTTACAGTAGCAACAAGCGTATTAATACCTTGACAGTAGACTAATCTGTATGCGAATAAGTGTACTGATTTATACACCGCAAGTATTATAACATATATTTTACTTAAGTTCATAAATATATATTGCAGTTAATTTTCAATTTGTTCAAAATTGACTTAATAAACGAAGTCTATTTTTAGAATCTGTGAGCAGTCAGACGTTTATTTCTTCCAAATGTGTCATATGCTAATTGAAATAAGTCATTACTAGTACACCTACTAAATGATTCTTATTTTACAAACTGATTCAAACAAGAGGAGTTACTGAACAGAAATATCACTTTACAGAGATTTATTACTTTGTTTGTTCAACATAATTGAACTGTCTATTATAACCCGATAAGCTAGCTCCATTTCAGAATATTACAGATTTATAGACTAGCATAATAAGGACATATTGACTTACTTGTAAATCCACAACAAATTTACAGTCAAATTTCAAGTACTGACATGCCATCGGGTCATTTTCCTCATCTGCATAATCCTTTAAGAGAGAAAAGAAAACAGTTGATTTAAATATTTTGCCTATTTTGAAATTTTGTAAGTAATGCAGAGGTTTCAGTTGTTGACTCAGCGTTCAGCACCCTCTTTATCTGAGTAAATTATATCTACAAACAAACTACTGTAAAAAGAAATGGACTTGATTTTCATTTTTTATTCGACTGATAGTGGAGCGCGTTTTGAACTACTTGTGACTCATTAGCTGAATATCTCTGGATTTTTTAAAATGATAGTGTTTCCAATGGGACTCAAAACCAGTACTCATTGTTTCAGAATTCAATAAATCATCCCGTAAATCACTCAAACACAAGGTCTGTCACTTGTGGAACAGTTATTAAGTGTTGTCGTTTGAAACTTGGGATTTCTCGTTGGCTGAATTTACTGGATTGAGATGTTCGGCCTCACCGTATGACCTAATGTCATGTTTTGGTCAACAAACCTGACCATAGTCTTTAGAATAAATATTTTGTCATTGTAACAAATAATAAATATTTTTTAAAGATGGTTGGGCATTAATTATGAAAATCAGTAACTAAAAAAGATTGTCTAAAAATATTTTCTACGTATAATCACATTAAAGCTAAAAGAATGAATGCGAAGTTAGGTGTCACATGAGAAATCTGATTAACTGAAGTTTTCCGTTTCATCTGTGCATTATTATTTATTATTCAGTCTATGTTTTCTAAATGGAACACAGGAATTCATCAGTACACCTCCTGAACACCCTCTTCTCTGGAATCAGTTTTAACGAACTACGCAAGCTTTCACTTTCACTTCACATGCTCTCACCCATTTCACCGTAGGACGCTAAAGCCATCGTTTTCCATCCGTTTTTCGCTTGACTGCCTGGCGTGTGATGCCACTTGAATGTTTCAACAGCATACATCTAATCTATTCGAATTTTTTTCAGAACACATCTTGGGTAGAAGATTCATAACTGGTTCGCTACACTGCCAGAGTTCCTTGCTGCTCATCCTTCAAGTCTACCCATCTGTTCTTTAGTATACGGAAAGTGAAGCTGTTGATGAAAGCCTGCAGTCTTGTAGAAATGCTTCTCGTGACCCATCAAGTCTCTGAATCAATATAAAGACACTGACTTGAAATTAGTGTTACAAATTCTGACCTTGTTTTTTGAGTTGAATACTGTAGATCATCACAATTATTTAAGAGTAATCAACGCCTGATTTGCTTTTCCGATACTAAAGGAAAATACCCACTGGTTAGTTCTTTGCCTTGTTTTAGTGGTTTAGCCTTGTTACCTCAGAAAGAGTAATAAATGTATGCCTATTTCGCCTCTATTTTTAACTTCAGTATACTCACTGTAGTAAAGATATATCTTGACGTGTATATGAAAGTTTTATGGTTTCAAATGCAGAAAGTTATTAGCTCCACGTATTATTCATCTTTTTTTAATGGCTTCCTAATCAGCAACTCTATTTAAATATTCATTCACCCATATGAGAAGTAAGCATCATAATAACTATGCCTATACTTTGAGTACTTATTCCATTTAGTGGCGCCAAACGAATCGGAATGACTATATGAAGCTATTATATTGATTATACATAATTGGTTAAGCGACGGAGTCAACAATGACCAGGCTGTTCTACTTTTCGATAAATTTTATCTTACCAAAACTGACGCTGTAAAGTAAATACTTTTAATAACGGAAGGTCAGTGATCGTCTCACGAAGTGAAAGGTAGTTTAATTAAATAGGGAAATGGTAATTACTCTCATGACATGATTTCCACAAGTAGTTTACGTTCATTCTGACAGTGATCTCTGGAAGCGAATTTAACTACATAAAAACCCACTATCAACCAGTCAAAGCTAAATATAAAATTCTTTCATTGTTAAAGGATGAAATCACACCACTAGCTGACATACATCTCAGTCCCTGAAATTAAAACTAATTTTGAGCAGTAAGATACCACCCAACACTTATCGGGCGTGGATAGTTACTTATTTATCACCCTATAAAATGTAACTGATAATCCAGATAAAGATGAATTGAAGAATTTTCAGACCGTAAGACGAACATAAAAACCATGCTCAACTTAATAGTGACTGGTGATCACTTCAAGATGAAAGTGAAGATTAAACTAAAAAAGGAATGGAATACAGAATATTCACCAAACAAGTTGTGTCTCACACCATCTGATTGATTCTTCCCTGTATAAATAAGCTAAGAAATCAATAAATCACTGCAACATTCGAGTCAAAACCAACAAACTTAATATCCCAGCATCACATCACAGTCTAACCACCCATACCTTTCTCTGCAATCTAATCAAATTTAAACCTTCATATGTGGCAACCAAGGTTGGGAACAAATCAACCGTACCAAGTTAATTAAGATCCACAATTTCATTAACTGACTTGCTATTCTTAAATGATACTTTTTATGCTACTTCATATAGTGGTTTCATTAAACACAGGCAGCCTATAACTATGACATCAGAGACACGATTAGTTAAAGTTTAGTATATGTACATATATACTCACATAGCCTTTCCTCACTGTTCTCTGAAGTGAGCTGTGTTATAATATACTGTCATTCTACGTTGTATATTGATCCTTTCTGATTCTTTTACTTGATAAATACTGAGAGATTAAATTATTCACAAGGTATTGTTAATTTTGACTGGATTAATTAATTATTCATACAAGATGTATACACACCACTTGGCATAAATTTAGTAACCCTCTAAATATTTCCCAAAAATTCTGAATGATAGCTAAATGAATTCGGAAATAACAAAATTATCATCTGAGAAGAAAGGAAGAACTTCTAAAAGCCGGTATAGAGAATTTTCTTTAATACCACATAGTTTCCTAAGGCACAGTCGTAAAGCATAATGAAATAATTCATTCAGAGAAAATTTGGTTATCCAGGGCAGGATATAAATGCAAGCATTGTCTTACAGAATATTATCTCATTGAAAAGAAAGAACTAATTACTTTCTTTGAAGTGGATATTGAAGCAGATAAAATCAAAATTATGTTCCTCTAAGCATAACAAGATGAACGTCACATCAGTGCATAACTTTAATACCATTTTCGTGTAATATAGAATATACAGAATTAGAAAGCCGATATATTTAAGTTCACTGAGAAAAACATACAGCCAACCGATCAATGTAGATAGATTTCAAGAGAAGTGGACACAGTTTGGGAGAAGGATTAATTGAATCTGTGCAATAAAGTGCGATATTTTAGCTGAAGATTAATCACTGAATGAGTTTATTTTACACTGACTTAATAAATATAAGTATTCAAGTTATACATATATATATATAATAAATACCGACTCATTACTCACCATTGAGTACTGAAATCACTCTAAAATTCTGAGCGTTCAAACAGACACTTCTCAATGAAGCTATCAAATACTGTTAATCTTAGAAACTTCACTGCAGCCTTTGGAGAATATGTTTCCCAAAAACGATTCGTATTCAGATAATCATGCTTATATTAATTCAAGAACCATGGTGGTGATATTTTTTATTCCTTTGCTTTCCCTGTGGAACATACGGTTTCAGGCTAGAGCTTTGAAATTTCAGTAGCAGTGTTTTTTTACTTTTTTGTGGTTGGGTTGCTAACCCTACGCCCAACCTTCCCTCTTCACCGACTTTACTGCCGATGGGATTTAGAAGTTCGTCGGTCGGGAGTCAAACCCCTTGACCGCATGCATGGTGGCAAGATTTCTACCTCTGAACTACCGACGCACAGCGATGATATAACAGATCTTTTTTGGCATATCGGCTTCTAACGCAGGTAATTTGATGAATCATTTAACTTTGACTTCAATATGAATTGACAGGTGATTAAAGGGAAATCAAATCCACTACGTATGTTAAAACTTTTTAGCTGGTTGTACATACATCTCAGGATTCGATCGTGGTTTAAATTATGGGTGGTAAGTTTGAGTCGTAATTGGACTACAACCACTCAATGGGATTTAGGTGAGCCCAGCTGACTAGTCATAAATAATGATTTTTTAATACAAACAGGTTTATTCTGGATAAGACAGCAAGACATAGTAGAGGATCATCAGCGTATTTAAATTGCAAAATATTCACTTTTCCTACAGGATGATCAAGTAAAACAGAATTCCAACAGGGTTTCATGTGAATATCTGTTGTTCTGTCCCAGGCAAGATTTAATCTTCTATGACACTTTTCCTAAGTTTCTTTCAAGAAACAAGCATTACGTTGAATGGTAATTAAAAGGTTCGATGGTTCATGCAGCTATCTGAAGGAAAAATCTGATGATTAAAACAATAATAAATGGAGAAGAATCGCGTATTCCAATGTTAAGCACCAACAACCAAATGACATCATAAGTTCAAGGTCTGCAGTTTTATATAAGTCTTACTGCTGCCGCAGAATGCACAACTAGCAGGAAACATTCCTTTGTGATTTTTATCTCAAATTTTGAAATATGTTCATTACGAAAGTCTGTTAAATTATTCAATCTGGGAAGACTAAAGGGAGAAATACCATAGTTCACTAAAGTTGACATCTAAATACAATGCGCTAAAAATTATTCATAAACTTTAGGAAGTACGTTTCTTTTAATCATATGTAGAATCTATAAACTTCGCCTACGTCTTCCGTTAAGGTTAGAAAAATATATCTTATTTAACTATGGACTTATTCTATAACATAAAACGTCCCCGTCACAATAAATTCTATTGGAGCAGACTGTTCGATATTACATTTCAGTGGAATTTAGGAAAGTGAAAATGTTTAGTATAAAGTCCTCCATTAAGAGGGTAAGGATCCATATCACAAGCATATCGCTTTCGCACCATTAGTGTTTGTTTCGAAATGCAAAAATATCATGTGATACGATTATCAGACTACCCCAAGAGTTTCTCGATTGCACTGTCTCAAGTATCTTAATCAGATATAGCTATTTACACAAAAGAGTGTAAGGCACTAAGGCAAAGATGTGTATCGGGATCTGTTTTAACAAAC